GCTGCATTTCAACTTGTTTCCACTTGGAGTGTGGTATGTACTACATTTCTTCCATAACAGTTCTATTCTAGGTAGAGGTATGTACGTGTGTATGGTTGGCATGTAGAACAATATTAATAGTCTTGCCTATCAGATAAAAAAAGGTTGAATATCGGATGAACTCAACTTTAGCGTAGAAATGGGTACTCACAGTATTGTAAAGGATGTTTCTAGTATGGAGAGTTTCTTTTTCTTTCTGGAAGTTTGGGTGGATGTAAAATAGGCCAGAAGTAGTTTTGTCAAAGTGATTTCAAACTTAAGAAAGAATCAATAGTGAAAAACCTTTCACATGAATTTAGAAGTTATAAGGAGGTATTCAGTGAAGATAAAAGAACTCTGTGAGACATGGAGGAAATGGGAAACTGTGCAGTTGTTTCTGATGCCACACCTTACACAGGGGAACTAGAGGAAGCCGTTTGTACTCTAAATAAACCTGGCTTTGATTGGATGAAAGAAGCTGCTTAAATGAGCCATGCTTTACAGGAGCTCTGTCAAAGGCTTAGGATGTGTTAGTCTGTGTTGTTAATATTTATCTTGCAGCTGTATAAGTCAACCATTCCAATGAAATGTCAGAATCCCACTGAGAGAAAAATGGTACAACTGAAGAAGTCTGGAATTTTTTTGACTAAAGATCAAGGAATACATCTTTAAGATCAGTCTGTAAAACATCTCTGAAGATGATGCTCAAAGCAGTGATGTTAGCTCTGAAAATGAAAAGAAATTAGGAAGTCTTTGTGCTGTGCAAAGCATTTCAGTGTTACAATAGGGTAGAGGGAAGTTTGAACATTTCATTTCTTACAAAACTCTAACTTTGTTATGCACTTGTAATTCTTTTCCTGCTGTGTTGTGAGACCAAAATGCAGCTGTTCTCAATAACATGTATTTACACTGTTACGTATATTTTGCTCTGATGTCACTAATTGAAAAATGTGGATAAATGATGTTTTACAATATTGTCTTCTGTAGGAGGGAGATGATCGCTTATATGTGCTCTGCTCATGGTTTGCTACATCCATGGAAGTCTTACAAAAGTCCAATAGGTGCATGAGCTATAGGTATTTTATTCCTTTGCTTTTAAAGAAAGGAGTTGTCATTTGTTTTCTTTAGAGGAAGAGAAATGAAGACAACAACTCATTTGTTGGTGAATGTACATGGTTTAAAAGTAATTAGAAAACCTTCTGGAAATAAAAACTTCTGTGTGTATAGACAGCATGTTTAGGTAATTCCAAGTGAAGTTAAAGCCACTACTCTAAACACTTTACTAAAGTCTTTGACATGTCAATCCCTCACTGTGTTCCTCTAATTCCATATGTGAATCAAGTACAGAACTGCTAAATATGTAATGTGATACTATTCTATAGATAATGGTACTATCCAATGTGTAAGGGAGAAGAAATTAGAAATCTTAACAGGAACTTCATTTGAGGTGCTTAATTCATCTGTGTCTGCCTTTTGGAGCTTAAACTACAGAAGAGTAAGAAAAGTGAAAGGGATGAGGGATGGAGGTGGTGTCGTGAGTATGATATATTAAAGAAGCAGAGTAATAAAGGCATTAAAGTATGTACAGACTCATAAATTTTGGGTTTTAGATTACCTTTTGAGTTGTCTTTATCTTTTCTATCAAACAGCTTTCTCACATTAATTCGTGACATTGATCTTTCTGTTATTCATTTTTGGGTTTCATACTGGATTAGACCATCATATCAATTGCTTCTAGCTTTGTTGGTGATTACAAAAGTGAGATTTTCAGGGTCTTATTTTGAAAATTCAAGTACTAAGAGTCATCAACTGTGTCCTGTTCAGTTGTGGAAATGAACTCTGTTGCTCTGGAGATAAAGCTGTCTAAGCCTTTGCTGTCAATTCTGGACAAGAACACTTCTAGACTCAAAGCCATGAACCTTTGACATTTAAAATACTGCTGAATTCATAGGGACTTTGTGTCACTGCAGTAGAAGAGTTACTCTAATGATTATTCTGAGTTTTCATTGGACTAGTTAAAAAAAATTACTTGTCTTTAGAAACTGAGTTATAACATCTGATTCTTAAAGGTCAGAGGCAATTCTTGCTTCATTTCTTTATATTTTTTTCTAGATTAATAACTTATGCTAGTTTTATTGTCTTTCTAAATGTTAGATTGAGGTTTGCTGTAGAAAATAAAATTGCTATCGATCAACCTTTTTTTTTAATCTAGTATTTGATTTGTGTGCTTGCATGTAGGTCTTTAGATTGTTATCCACTCACTCTGTTTCTGTTAGGCATGTCTGTGACAAATCATGGTGAAACTCAGTGTAACCCATTGGCTTTTCTGTTCTGGATTTACATCATTGCAATAAGCATAATTCCTAAATTATGCTTGTTTACTGGATGAATATAGTAATTTTATTTTTATCCTCACAGTGTTTTCAGTTCAAAAATTCTCAAAGTATTTTAAGACCTACGTGCAGTAAGTACAGAATAATTGTTACAAGCCTCATTCAGACAAGCAAATAGGAGCAAGCAACGGAATCCTCTATATTGCTGTATGAAAGGAGAAGCAAATTTTGATGAAGAACCATAGTTAAACTCTGAAATTTTCAGAAAGGAGCTGACAGGATCTAATTTACTAACAGTTATTCTGTCTGTCGTCTTTCCTTGAATGTGGAGATAATTGATCACAGTCATTCAGTTTTCTCTGGAAATATAAGGAGCTGAGATTTGAACCAATTGTTCTTGGAGTGGAGGGAATTGCTGTCTTCTGGAGCGCCTGGATTCAATAAGATTGCTTAAACTATTAACAGCACTTATTAAATTGGTTAGATAGGCAGAAATGAATAAAAAAAATACAAAACTCCATCCTCTGCTTCTCATTTAAATTTCAACTTGGATAGAAAGAGATGACTGCACTTCTTACTTGGCTCTAATTGCAGCACGGGTTCTCAGAAAAACAAGTTTGAGATTGTCCTTTTTAACTCTTACCTTGTGAAATCTGTTTTTGGTTTTGTGCTTGTTGATTTTAGGCTGTGACTACTTGAATAAAAAATATTAAGCTTCCATTTGGTATTGTTATAGAATTCCTATTAAGAAAAACGTGCTTTGCAATTTTTCCTTACTGACTTTCTTACTTAGTTTTATAAAATCTCTTTGTAAGTTATAAAAAACGAGGACTTGGCTAATGAATGCTAGTTTGATATAAGCATAATGAATGCTAGAATTCTGTAAATAGTTTTCTTAAATAAAAAATAATCTTTACAGAACAGAATATATTCATCTGATCAACTTCTGTGAAGTTTTTGGTTTTTTTGTTTGTTTGTTTTACCTTTGCAATGCCCCCTTTGGAAATGCATCTATGAGTACTGTAATGATAAAAAGGGATTCTGGATTAACCATCTGAAACGGCGTCAGTATCACTGTAAATCAGGAGAAAATGAAGATCAGTTGTAAGTCAGGAGAAAATTAAATATGAAGTTATCCATAGTAATTCGTAGTCCTCACTGAGGAGAAAAAAATCATATTTGAGAGATGTTTTATTCTTGTGGGATAAGCCAATCATAATTTCCTTTTCTTTTACCCAAGGTTTTTATTTTGAATGCATTGAATATTAAGCTAAATTGTGCTGTTTCACTGTCAGCAGTCCCTCTGCAAGGCTGATCAGTAGTGATTTTATTCCTACATCAAATATATTCATAACCATATGCCCAGAACTCTAGCCTGACTATTTCCAACTGCATGGAGTTTAAAGCTCTGTAAATAGACATACCTGAAAGAATTAACTTTGGTTTAGCTTCTTTGTCAGTGTATATGCTTACATGTGTATATGTATTCCTTATGCACACTTACGATGGAAAAAGAGCAAATTTCCTATACTGTTCTTGTACAGAACTCAATTATCCCATATTACTGTTGAGAAATGCTGATACATATGCATTAATGTTAATTCTTAGTGAATGAACAAATCCTCAACAGGAGCTACCCATCAAAATCTGCAAGCAAAATACTAGTTGTAGTATGACAGGAGTGCATGAGTTTGTGTGAAACGTTGTCAGCTTACTTTCCACATATAATTAAGTCCTGTGAAGATTTAGGGTACACTATGGACCATCCGCAGTCTCCTACACAGCTTGCTGCCTGGAGTAGCAAGCAGCAGAGTTCTATATAGCCACACTGCTTAGGTTGAAATCTCTCTCGTGTGTGTTTGTTGCATAGTGGGAGCTGTTTATTACAGTAATAGGTGTTCAGAATATTAAAGTTCATATTTAATCTGTAAGGCTATAAAACGGTATTAGACAGTAAAATACTGTACTAAGGGGAATATAATACTTGAATGAGCAGTTGTTATCAAAATGAAATTGAATGGTGTAGTTCAGTTAGAAGGGACCAACAAAGATGATCAAATCCAACTGCCTGATCACTTCAAAGCTAACTAACAGTTAAAGCATATTTTTGGAGTATAAAGAATATGCAAAGTTCTACATTGTTCTACCATGAATGAAATTAATCAGAATACAGATCTTTTAACTTATTTTAAATGAGCTGTAAGTACCATATGATATTATAGCTGATGGCACTATTTGCCTAGTGTAATCCAAGTTCTGATTTTTCACTTGCCAAATTTTCTGGCTTTAGCCAAACTATTCTGGGTGAAATCTTGAATTCTAGATATAAGCCTTTGGATTATTGTCTCTGCAAAATTACAGCTGAAGTAGTTCAAGTATTTCCAAGAATGAGGATATTACAAAGACACTTCTTCATGTTAGAGTTTTCTAGAGACCTCTCTGAAAGTCTAGAACTATCTTACATTTGAGCAGAGCACCTGTGACATGTTGTACTGTATAATATTATGAACGTAGAAGGGCTCTAAGAAAATGTGTGCAGACAATCTTAGTTCTTGGATTCTGATGTTTTCGATGTCAATTTTGTGATTTTGTTTAGTTGTTGCCATGTGGGCGTACAGCAATTAACAGTGTTATCTCATTTTGCCTTAGATTATTGGTTGCCAAGTCAGAAGGGAGCCACCAGAGTCTACTGAACGGTACACTCGTTGGATCAATAACCTGACTGAAGAGCAACTTCTTACACAGGTATTCTTTTTTCAGGTGTGACTGAAAAATATAGTGAAAGGTTTATTTAGTTAGACTTTTTCATTCAGTGGCAATACATGATAACTTCACCAGATTATCAGGGTTTTATAACTTAAATGACAGAAATTTGTGGTGTTTGTGATCGTTATGTAATGATACCTTTACACTGAGGTTAGATACTGACTGCTTCTTTATCTGTTTAAATTTTGCTAGAGATCATTTTAAAATAGCTGTTCTTCAGGCGTTAAATGTAGTGCTCATTACACATGTTTTTAAGTAAGATACATTTACAGGACTGAAGATGACAGTTTTGGCATAAAGATAGGTTGTTTTGTTAGGCAGGCAGCCAATGCTGAACTAGAAGAGACTTTGGCAAAAACAAGTTAAATTGTGGAAGAAATCAATCCAGCCTGTGGAGGAATGTGTATGCTGAGTATTATTATAAGAAATCTAATGGAGAGTTAGCAGAAAGCATCCCAGCAGATATTATGATTCAAGAATTTGTGATTGGGTTTTGTGATGCTATGGTAGGAAGCCATTTGCTTTTAATTGTCTTGGATTTAAGTAGTTGAAAAGATTAACATACCCATGTTTGTTAGACTTCATTGCTGTATTCCCCATTACCATAACCCCCAAAGATATACTTACAGGCTCTGGGATGTTCACTGTAACACAAGAAAGTCATCTGTAGACCTTATTTTAAAACCAGCAGTAGTGTTATGGTTCTCTGTAATTTACCAAATGAAAGTAGTTATAGGGAACGTTACCCAGTGGAATGAATATTTGGATTTGCCTTTGAGCATAACATTAGGAAAAATTATAGTTTTAAAACCATGAGTTTATCTGACAGTGATATCTGGATACACAGTAATAGCACACAACTACGTTGTTAAAGGAAAGACAAAGAAAAGCTTGAAGATGCAACGTAAAAGTTTGTCCTACATCATCTGCTGTTTTTCGTCTGTCTTGAAGTGGTCACTGGATGGAGCCTTTAATCAATTAAACTGGAAATCAAAGGAAATATCCTAATTTTGAGGTTGCTTTGGGTCTGGTCAAGTGAGGAGGGATGTGAAAAATGAACGCTCATTTTAAGACAGGCCTGCAAATTTTCTGGAAGAGCTTATATAGTATGCTTTTCCTGACAGTAGGATGCAAACATGGTGACCTGGGTAATCGCATGCAATCTTATGTGTCTATAAATATCTCTTCAAGCCTTAATCAAGTAGCATGTGCAATCCATTATTTTTACATATGATTTAAATTCACACATTTGACAACTTTACAGGAGTTTTGGAAAACATATTGGGACTGGATCTAGAAGTCTGCATAATAAAGCTTGTGCTTCTTTTTGATGATTCTAATGAGACGAGATTTGTACAATTGCACTATTTGTGTTCCTCTTTTGGGTTCGAACACGTTACCTGTTCTATACAAAAAGTAACCCAGAAATAGTAGTTCCTCAAGCATACTAAGTTTCTGAAAAATTTGTGAAAGTGTAAAGCTAGAAGACACTGTACTGCACCAGCTGCAAATCATATGTCATTGATAACAATGGAATCCATTTGGGCAGAGATTTGAGTACCCAATCATGAGACAAGCTTCAGCTGCAACCCATGATCAACTGTGAGACAGACAAGTTTGTATGAAGCCTGGCTTTTGTAGCTCTGCTGCTAGATTGATTTCAGAGCAGTGCATTCCCCTGCCTCAGTAACCATTTTTCTGATCAGAAGTTCAGGTAGGCAATTATTTTGCTTTTTCTTGATTTAACAAAGTATAGATATGAGACAAAACTAGGAGTGAAAACTATTTCAGCTGTTCTCTAATAGCTGTGGTACGAGTGAGCTGCACAGGTTAGGCCTGTGAGAGGGTTGTCCCCTTTGTCCTCCTGATATATTGACATGTTTTATTTTGGGTGTACTTGTAAAAACTTTTTTTTTCAGGAGATAAGTCCTAAGAAAACTATAATGATAGGCCTCTGCTAAGAGATTTGTCAAATGCATGGGAGGAGCAGTCCTTCAGGGAATTCAAGAAAATTGGCTTTAATTTACAGCATGTTGTCTCCAGCAGTTTCCTGTAGTGAAAGAATGTTCAGCTTTTTTTAGCTGTCTCTGTACTCAGTATTCAGTTTTTTCTCCACTTTTGCATTTCTGTATCACACACATACTCATTTATGCTGTGAACTCGGACAGTAAGTGACCAATAAAAGAAGAGTTAACAATGTTGTGTAATCTGCTATCACAATATTTGTTATTAATGAAATAATATTCTATAGCATTTGATGACTAGAGTTGCTGTTTACTAAAGCGCAGTTTGAAAGAGGTGGGTGGCAGCAGATGTTTTGTTAGGTGGTTGGATTGCTTCATGTGCCTCGGTGCTGGCTGCTGGTTTTATATTGCCTGAGTCAATACCAGATTTTTGGATCGAATGTCCATACCCTGTCTTCATGCTGAGATCATTCAATACAAAATGCTTCTAGCATTTTAACTTTTCCCTTCCCTTAACCATGGCCTCTTGATGCTTGCTCATCCATTAAATGTTTCTCTAAACAATTATACTGTAACATTCCAAAGATACTTTATGGTATGCGTGAAATTTCAGAATATATACCCCGGAGATTGAGGGGGAGTGAAAGAATACAAAGAGAGCATGCTGATGTGAAGACTACTTTTTAGAAGATTTTTGTTTAAGGTTATCTTCTTTATAGATTATAAGTGATAAAACATTGTTTTGCACATATAGTAATGTAAGCATTAAAATACACCCCCCAAAAAGGTTTAAACTTGTCATGTGTGAGCATGGTGACAGGTACAGAAAGAAAATAAGCAAATAAATATGGATACCTGACTGTTCTGATGTTGGGATGAGTGGAAAAAATGCAGATTAGTACTAATCCTAAAAGATGTCAGAGTTTGAGTTGTGCTTGAACTGTGATTGAAGTTTGATCATGCAGCTTTTCTTAAGCTGGAAATTTTACTGTACTGGATAAATGAAAATTCCTAAATGGTTTTAAGGTTGGATTAATTACACAAACATTTATACAAGTAGTTCTTAAGGATTGTTGTGGGCTGTAAGTAACATAGCCAAGTTCACATCCATGTCTGTTAGATCACTGTTTAGGTTAGTTTAATCTCACAGGCAGTCTGTGAAGCATTGCATTCAGCCTGAAGTGTAATTCCATCTGACCTGCCATTTTTTATCCCCAAGACAATGAACCTCTCTGCTTTCATATCATTGTTCGTTTAGAAAGCAGCCTGTGAAATCAGAGGGTATGTGTGGAGATGCTTGCCAACAGGAGTGGGCTCTCTGGTTGGTGAGAGAGGACAGCCATAATTTAGAGAAATAACCATCCAAACAAAACGTTGTGATTCTGTATGCCTGTTGCCCACCATAACATGTCTGTGCTGCTCCTGGATAGGTAGGGTACTTTGCAGCTTATCTGAGAGCTCTTTGTGTAGGACAGATCTGGAAGCTTTCACAGGTGACTTCTTACCACTAATCTCTTTGCTACCTAACCAAAGAACAGCATTTAACTTGTAAGAGTTCCCTAACGTTCTTTCTTCTATGCTGTTAGAGGTGCCACTTTTAGCCAGCATTTAGATTTAAATGCTGGCTTCCCTAAATAGATTGTGTTCCCATTCTAATATTTTAAGTAATGTGAGGTCAAATTTCACACTACAAATCAGGATTTACTACAGATACTTGTTTTGGAAATAGATCCAGCGTTCTGTCTGCATGGATCGTATAAGAAGTTTTTCCCAATAACAGAAGTTCAATATGCTCAATGTTGCATTGTCTTGGTGCATCCCTATAGGCAACTTCTTCCTGTTTGCAAGCAGAGGGAGCAGTCAGGTGGGCTGAGGAGGGCAGAAGCAGCTCATGTACCTTATGGCTCCTACTGGCTCTCTTTCTTAAAGGCAGACTGGGAACAAGAGTTAGATGGCTCCTGCTTTTCTCAGTAGGCAGGCAGGTGTGGAGGTATGCTCTGTGATCTGCTTACAGAAAGCCCAATATGGAGGGAAGGAGCTGCACTACCCTGAAGAAGTTCTGCAGCCAAATAGAAGTTGGCACTGCTGGACCAGCTCTATTGCTCTGCTGTGCAGGCTCAGAGCCAGGCAGAACTGGTAAGAGAAGATGGGAGGAGGCAGGCATTTTCCAGGTGGGCCATAGATTGAGCATCTCTCACTTGGAGTGTTTGTTTTCTTCACCTGTAGACCAGAAATTCTGGCTTCAAGTGCTAGGCTTGGTTGTCAGTACAACAGAACTGAAATAATGATTGAGATAGCAATCTGAGTGGCTATGTGCATGTTTTCCAGTTACATTACTTAAGGGTGAAGCTGGACAAGGGGTAAGACTTTCTTAAGAATGAATAAAAGCATGAAAAGGCTGATTGATTTCCCTCTTCACCTCTGCTCCAGCATTTATTTTTAGCTCACTTGCATTTTTTATCTTTTGATCAAAAGATACTCAACACTTTCTTGGGCTTTTTTTTTGGTCACATTTTCCTCTGCCTTCACCTGTGTTACCAAAAAATGTGTTAACAGCAAAATCCCAAAGCTTTTCTGAGTGATACAACCAGAGTTATAAAATAGTTAAATACTGCAGGCTGTGTTGGTTTGCATGGGATTAAGGATATAGCATACAAGGAAAAAAAAAATTGGCTTCTTCCTTTTGTGGTTGATCCCTTTTCCTCTCCAGAGAAGAATGAAACAAAGTTGCACAAGCTTGTCAATGTTTATGTTGGTGTTTGGAAACGCGTGTCAAAGGCGTTCATGGAGTTCTAGAAAGTTTAATGAGAAGTGCCTTACCCACATCTGTGAACTAAAAGCATCATTAGAACTTCCTAGCGGGGCTTTATGTGAAGGCATCTCGGGGTCAAATGTTTTTGAACTTTCAGAAACAGATTTGCAATAGTTCAAAACTGTATACAGATTTTGTGTGTTAGTAACTTTGCATGAGTTTAAAGGCACGCTTTAAAGGAGAGAGTGTTAAATAATTTAGAT